TGTGCAGTTTCTGCCTTCCACGTCGTTTTTTTTCCGACTTTTGGCCACCTCGGTTTATATATATATTTACCAGTGGGTGGTACCCGTTTTTCTCCTAATTTTTATTTTTATTAGATATAAAATTTACTATAAGTAATCATATTTTAAACATATGCATCGGATTAGACTGCATCTTTTATATTTATACTTATATTATATAATTTAAATTCATTTTTTTTTTAAATCCAATGCATTTAAAATCGGTTATCCTCAAGTTACCTTTAACTGATAAATCATAAATTAATAATAATTTTTTGGATTAAAAAAACAAGGTAAATTGTCATTTTAAAATTATACCTACTTAGACTTATATAAATCTGGTTTTAATTTTATTTGAATTTTTTTTTTCTTATCGTGGAATTATCTGTACACTAAATTACTTTTTTCTTCTTTTCTTTTTAATATCATAAGAATTTTTTTATTAGTAATCTTAATAATTTTTATTATGTTGATAAAAATCCTATATTAATACCCATATAATTTTATTTAGCAAATAAAACATGCGTATTGAAATCTTAGTTTATTTTTACATAATAATGGAAATTTAAAAGCCGAATCTGAACATAAATATTTGTTATTATATTAATACATATAGAACACTGCGATTTGAGGACTAATTGAGGTGACGCTCAGTGCTTAATGTCCTTAAATAATATGAGAATATGCCCCGAGGGCGCGTCGACGTCGAGCAAGTCGTAGTGGCTTTAAATTAAAACAGTTAAAAATGGATAAAAAATCGTGGCACACAATATACATCATAAGACACATAACTATTTAGAAAATAATAAATAGTTTGTTCGTATATATAATTATATACTGTTATTTGTAATGTAGAAAATAAACATTCGTATTGCATTTTGATAAGTGTCAAAAACAAAAAAAAAATACAGATGATAATTATTTAAAATTTATAAATTTCTATAAAATTAAAATTATAATTATTTTTACAACATTTTAAATTAAACACGTACTTTTAAAAAGATTTGAAAGAATTTATTATAAGTTGATTAAACATTAAAATTATATTTTAATAAATTGCAGAATAAATTATTTCTAATACAGTTTCACTGAAAAATGTTCTAAAATATTTCGGTAAAATTGAATTACTGCAGTTAATATACTATTGATTCAAAATTAAAATTGTATCATGAAAATATTTGAACATTGAAAGATATTACTATGAAAATTAAAAAAAAAAATAAAAATTGAGCTTTATTAAAAATTCAACTAATTTAATTAGTTATAAATATTTTGCGTTTATGAAAAATCTAAAATTAATTCCTATTATAATTATTTTATATTTTTATAATTTCTCTTTTGTTTAATTTTTACAATATTTTTTTAATTTTTATTTTTTTGGTAATGTTTAAAATTTATATAATATACAATAATATAATGTGCATTATAGTATTAAACTGATTTTGGTATAATTTTCTTGTACTAAATACAAAATAATGTGATACAAATAGGTAATATTTTACGTGTATACTGTATAATTAATAATAAAATTTAAAAATATTCGTTATAAAAATGATTCTAAACTAATCAGGATGTAGTACATGCAGCTAGAATCATAGTATTATTGAATAAATAATATTTCAAATCCACAAAAATATATTTTATAAGATATAAGTTACGAATTATTCCACAAAAGGTAGGAAATGTTTGCACTGATACAGATGGTAAATCAATTACTGTTACACATATCGGTGGTTCTTAAGGATTCGTACCTGTTGGCAACATCTACCGACCATACCACCACCTTTACTACCAGGAATCGCCAAGTTGCTCCAATCTTTTACCACCGCACCATAACTAATTTACAACAAAATTAAGTAAACGTCAACACAGCTCTAACATCATTCACCGAAACGTCTCCTGCCTACTTGAGAATTCGTCTATGTATTAATTCATCAAATTACTTGCTTATATATTTGTTATTTGCATACAAATTCTGTCTGCTTGTTGGATTTTATTTTAAACTACACATCTTATAAACGTACATCTTTAAATTTAAAATTATAACAAACATTTGTCACAAAGTTTTTCCAACTAATTAAAAACTTAATTTTACATATTAGTATAACAATTATTATTATATACACGGGTGTCAATGTGTAAAATTTTAGGGAGGGATAAAAATAAAAAATAATAAATGTAAAATAAAAGATATGATGTTATTTTCACATATCAACGTAAATATGGCGTTATGTTCAGTATTAATAATAAATAAAACAATAATTTATATTATTTGTATTTATATTTATATATATAAATTATGTAATATATAGTTAGTTAAAACACATTTTAATAAAAATAGACAATCAAATAATATATTATTTGGTACTAGAAGGTTAATAAGAATTACAAATTCCTTCGTTTCATTCCAAACATATTAATGACATTCTATATGAAAATATCTTTATTTATGTACACTTTTTCGCGATAAAAACTCATCATACATAACCTTTTTAAACGATCTTCACTTGTTGTCAACTAAAGCATATTTTTATACTTATTTCATATTTTAATAGTGATTTAAAATAAACAATTCGTCTTCGTAATTAGGTAATATCGTGATAATATTTATTGCATTACAAGTTCATATAATTTATATTCCTAGGAGAAGTAAGTTTCCTATTTACCTCTTCACCTCGATGGGTGCTCATGATTAAACATACAATCATTGATTATAAATATTAGAATCCAAGGCTAACAAAAGATATTTTAATACCCGAGATAGGTATTTAATAACACAATAGTGCATTATTATGCCACTAGTATATATATTTATTTTTTATTTATTTTTTTTATTAATCAATAAAATTTAAATTGCATTACACAATTTGATAATTTATTAATCTTTTTTAAGCTGAGATTGAGTTAAAGATTGACAGTGTAATAATATAGTATAATAACAAATTTAAAAATAATAAAAATTTACATTTATATGAATAATATTCAGTATAATATTAATCCTTTAAGTTATAGTTGATTCGTTCGCTTCTGGGTTAGGTTAGGTTAAGCAATTAATCTAAATGACTAAAAAATACAAAAAATCTCGCCATTTGAGTATAATATCTTAGTGTGAACAAATTTATTATTGAAAGCCAGAAAATAAATTATAAGCGTTAGTAAATGTTTATCAATATAGCGCTAGCTAGCGTTGAAAGTAAGCTTTGTGCGTAGAAATGTTTAATACGACGACGATAGATTCAACAGATGACGCTGCTATTACCATATAAAGTACAAACATAGACATAGAATGTCAAGAATCAAGTGAAATTCATCGTTAATTTTATCATTATTTACAAAACTAGAAAACTATAGTTTCCAATGATATAATTTTAATGATATATCATTAAACTAATATTTATTTTTAAACTGCTATACATTCAATAACTGTTAATGATAGAATATTATTTAAAATAAAGTATGTAAATAATTACATAAAATATTTCAAATTATAACATGTTAAAACTCTCCATAAAATACATAAAAAATGATGTACCATCAATTTATTGCATGATGTATTGACGTGTATGTATTTAGAAAATTTATTAATATTATTTTGAAATTAATTAAGTATACTAAAATCCTAATTCTTTAAACATAATATACTAGTTCTTATTTAGTAATTGCAATAATATCGAGTGAAACAAGAATTTTACTCTTAATACACATACTTCAACTGCTATTCATCATAGCGATAAAATATTTTGTTTTTGATAAATTTTGAGTGGAGTAATTAATGTATTAGTTTTACACTCATATATTTTGTTTATCAATTTTTTTTTTTTTTTACATCTTTTTTCACTTATTGGAAAATGAAAATATTTGAAAAATTTTAAATTTCAACTTTGCAGAAGGTAGTTTCTGTGAGCAAATTAAGTTTAGATAGTAGGTTAACATACTGTTCAAAACCGTTTTTAATATGCGATGATTTATCTTTGGAAAATTTAAATTTAACGAATCCTTTGTAGTGACATAGGTATTAAATAACGAGGTTAACTCAAAATTTTCATACAACAATGCTATTTCCTCGATTTTTGAATTTAAATTCAAACATTTTGTTTTTCGTTTATCTATAAGGTTCGTTAATCTAAGTTAATTGACTTGTGTAGTCGTTCTTTATCTATAGCCAATTATTTAAAATAGCATAATATGAATAAGTATAATTATATTACGATTATCATGCACTATATACTGTCAAAAAGTCTGTTAAGTATTTGAATCAATGGTTTATAAATTATTAATTATAAAAACTCATTATTTATTTATTTAAAAAAAAAAAATTTTAACATAAATGTATACATATGTGGTCATACACTTTCAGTGTAATTTAGGAAATAATAATATATTATATAACATTCTAAATGTAAAATGTAATTTGACCGTAACTAGGCAGTAGGGATATCTATAATTTTCCATGATTCAACAATAGGAGTATACTGCATTTATTTTAGTTTATTTTTATTGAGGGACACATATATAATTGCGGATATATTAAGGATAGCGTTAAGAATAGCCTAAAATAATAATAAACATCCATGGTTCTGTATTAAGGGTTCGGAATTCATGGTTATTTCAGAACATTATACAATATAGAGCAGGTAAGCAGGTCTATCAGTCTCCGCAGGGGTCCACATTATATTACATAATATATGTAAATATTTTGTTACCATAACCCATCGTAGAGGCCATGGTTAGAACATTTCGACGAGTTTACCAGGAAGATAACATGCGAGTTTCAACTAGATCCAAAAAACTTCTGATCCAAACGGTTATCGCGCAAGTCTGGGAGCTCCGCAGTCATAACAACACAGGCGCGCGCTTCCCGTCGTCGCTGACGTTGTGTCGCCCTCCAGCCCAAAAAACTACCCCACCACAATTCTACCCTCCTAAAACCCTTCTCAGCGACGCTTACGACACATTCGTGGTAGTATTACGGTGATTGCAGTGTTACAAAGTACGGCCATCGACATGGACGCGAAGCTCACGGATCACCGAAAGTCCAAACGCGATTTCCGATACGCTGAATCGCAGCTCCGAAATCTCAACATGAAAATCGTAAGTGTTCAGATCTGAATGTTTGTAATTTTTTTTCTCTTCATTGTTAACTCCGTAATAATATATTATCCAATACAAGCGACGATTACCTAACTGTGGCACATTATAAAAATATATGAATATATATAGTAAAATAGCATTTCTTGTATAATATATATATGATCGTACATACTCATTTATGATTATGTAATTGATCGAAATTCTCGATCATGCATTATAATATAATAATAATAAAATTCACAACTGTTGAATTTGAGTTGTGTTCATTAACAATACGGAAATGCATATACAGAAAACATTCTCACACCACAAAAATATAATTCAATTTGTATAAAAAATAAAATAAAATATATTTTCATTCTTCAATAAAAGACTATTAGTATTTATAAAAATAACTGACGTCTCAATGAAACAACAAGTTTCATAAGATTTTTGTTAAAAAAATAACGATGGTCCATAAAATATAAGTGAATCAATAGAATCATAGATAAATATACATAATATACTAATGTTAAATGAAAAATGATTTTTGTCATTAAGGTTATAACAATTAATTGAAACTGATTATTTAAATAAATTTGATACATTTTTCAACAAGCTAAATCCATAAAGTTAATTTTTCTATCAAAAAAAAAAAAAAACCCTAAACATCAAGTTTTTATTTTATTTTTTTTTTGTGTTTAAGTTTCTTAAGAATGTTTAATAAGATGGTGTTGGTATGATTATTAAAAGAAATATTTACTTCTTTATTTTTCTTTTAAAACTTCTAAATTATTCCTTAGTATTTTTTATTAATATAAAATTTTTCTTTAATTTATGTTTATTAATAATAGTTTTTTAAATAAACAGAACAGTTAAAAAAATGAATAGGTCATACATTTTTTGATGTATATATTATATATATTAAAAACTAATCATGGTTTTACATAAATATTTATCATATTTATTACAATTTCTCAGTAAAAGTATTTCGAACATAGAGTTGATTCCCAATTGTCGAATTGGTTCCCGGGTTGTTTACAGGTAACATTATACTAATTGGTTCCTGCAAGCTTTTATGGTATGCAAAATAAGTCGTATCATAGATTTAATATTCTAAGTATATTTAAGCTATGACCGTAATATGTAGATATATATATTATATATTATACTCGTATATTGTACAAATATGCATTAAAAAAGAAAAAATGATCGAAAAATGCTAAAATATGCTTTAAAAATGAAAAATATTAAAATATGCAAAAAAAAAAAAAATGTAGAATAAAAATTTCACTTTTAAAATTTCTATCACATGAATCAAAATATTAACTTGGAAAGCATTGTCTAAGATTAACCAAAAAAAGTGAATTTTGCATTGAAATCCAAGCCCTACTTATAAGTAATTTTATTTGGGAACCATTTCGAACAGTTATGTACTGGAATATAATTTTTTCGGAACCAATTCGTACACTTTAATTGACTCGGGAACCAATTTCGTATTGCCCAATATTTCATGTTCTAGTATAAATATGTTAGAACTGCAATTTAAAAACTCTATGAATAATTATTTTTAACAAAAACATTTTAATCGATGATTAATGGCTGTTTAATATAATACGAATATATATCGTTGTTCAGTTTAGCTACGAAAAAAATACTAAATACATATTATGTTATAGACTTAGGATATTACCTTTTAAATAATAATGCTACGTAGCAATCATACTCAAATAACATTTGATATATAAAATATTAATACGATGAAAACAGGAAATTAATAACGTTGTTTACTTCTGTCCAATGTAATCGCGTTATACGTTATTAGATTTGAGAATATAAATCGAGATTATTTTAAAATAAACATAATAAAAAAAATAAAAAATAAATTATATCTTATTAATCAAAGTTATTTGGTGTATGAAGGTATAAACTTTAAATTTTTTCTAACAATTTGAATACAATTTATAAAAGCTATTAATTTTTAAATTGAACGAACGTCAAAATAAATATTTAGTTTTTTACTAGATAATAATAAATTATAAAATGCGAATCAAATATTTATAAAAACTATCTGAGATTTACTTATCACTTAATCAATTGGTATTTTAATCAGATTGAGTAGGTATGCCTGAATTTATATTAAAAGATTTAAATTGTATTTTTCTTTAAATGTCTATCTACAAATTAATTAGTTACATATAGTATTTAGCTATAATTTATCAAATCTATTGAATCATAAACTATCACAAACTTAATTTAATATATAAAATGCATCATGCACCTAATGTTGAATTGAATCGGGGCTTTATTGACAAGCTTGTGATACCCTGTAAACATATTTTGTACAAAATTTATGTTAAACTTGTATTTTATAAATAAAGACATATAGTTTTAATGATTTAGTTGAGTACCTAGACCTATATTTTTAAAGTTATTATGTAGTTTTATGGCTATCATTATAAAATCAAAATCGATTAAATAAGAGTCATATTAAATCAATAAAATATAAAATCATAAAACGAGTTTAAAACTACTATTTTTATTTCGTTTAATTCATCAAATTATAAACTCTATGTTTAGTAAAATTAAATATATATATATTTATATATATTATAGGTATTCTATTAATGTTAGTTCAAATTTAAATTTAAAAAAATGTTTTACATTATAATGTATATTAAATATGATTCTATATTATTTATACTACTGATACTATTTATATATAATTTAAATATTCTTTATTACGATCTGCTGTTAATGCATTATATTTGATTGCGCAATGTTTATAATTATGTTCAAATAAATCTATAAATGTTTGCTTACTTAATTGAAATTTTGTTTTATTTTTAAATAAAAAACACATTTTCGTATTAAATTCTACTGATTTTGTTTAACTTTAAAAATGTGAATCATATATATATATATTGTATATGTATAAAAAAATTAAGTATAATTATGCTATTACGTTTAACTAAATGTTAATATATTCACAATCTACCCCTAAATATCCCATTACTAAAAATATACTCATTTATTACTTTTTCAAACCCATTATTTTTATTTTCTATATCCGCATTATAACAAAATATGATTCATATTTTTGGAGAAAATATTATAAATAAGTTATAGTTTTAAAAACGTGATACCTATACAATTTTTAAAACAATTATGAGAAACAAATTAATGTTAAAAATTAATACAAAAATTTAATAAAACTTAAATTTAGTTTTACAAAATAATTAATTCAGAACAATGAATTACGAGTAAATTTAAAATATATTAGGGCTAAAAATATCAAAATATGTAAATAATTTTTTATGTTATTAAATTACTTATCTTTTATTATCTTGTCCCTTATAAATTATTTATATTTAAAGAAGTTTTAAAACTAATTTATTACTCTATTTCAAAGTATAAATTATTTTAAAATCAGTTTACCTTTTTAAAAGACAAACAATAGAAAAAAAGGAAATATATTATCTTATGTATGTGTCTAATGTATTATCTTAATATCTAAACAGTAAAAAAATACGTAAATTACTTCTAGTTCAATATAAATTATAAGTTTTTAATGCTTATGTAATTTTAAACAATACATTTTACGAATAACGATATTTTTTTTATATATAAGTACGAGTATTTTGTACATTAAAAATATACATATACATTTTATCTAAACTTTTAACAAATTTAGAAATAATTTTATAGAGCTAATTAATAATTAATTTTCAATAAAAAAAAACTGTACGACTGCACCATGTTCACCCATACTAAATTATGTTTTGTTTAAATAGAGTTGGAACTATTCAAAAGTATTTTGTAGAATTAAAACAGAAATAAAGAATTTAATATATTAAAATAACGGCATTAATTTATTGACTCAGCAGAGAAATGCAATGACCGAAATTTATATTAAATCTCGTGTTCATATAATAGGTAAGCATGTATTGAACAATAAAAAAATAATATGTTTTAAATATCATGAAAAAAAAAACATGCGTCTTACAGTGTAGTATCATAAAAAATTGAATAATGTTACGCTGTGTTAAAACACGGAGAAAGCCACAAAATTTGATCTGACAGTTTCAAAATGTTTGACAATAAACAACACTTTCTGGAAGGCATCAAGTTTTACAATACAACTATTATATAAGATATTATTATATATTTAATTTATTAAAATATAAAACTGTTTTAGCTATATTCAGAATAAGTAACAAAATATGAACAAATATTTTGAAACTCAGTATGTAGGTAATATAAAAAATAAAACAAATTCATTGTACATGATCTTTTATATAATTTAAAATTGTTTTATTAAATTGAATGTTTAAATGTAATGCACATAAAGTATAAATAATGGTTTCATAAAACTATTTGAAGATGAGTGTTAGTTTTACAATAGTATATTGAAACTAATGAAAATATTTTGGTAAATGGACTTAATTCTGTAAAATTTCATAAGTAATCAAATATATGTACCAAGTTCCAATTATCACCACTTTATTTTTCTAAAAAAGATATGATGATTGTATTTGCAATTTTTATTTCATATTTTGTTTTATCAGATTATCAGACTTTTTCGTTATAAACAGTTCGATGGTCTTTAGCAATATTATGATATTTTATAAATTTTAGAAAGTTAATGAAACATCTATTTTATGTTTGTAAATCAGTTTTTATTGATATAATTTGAATAGTAACTTATACAATTTAAAAAAAGTAAACATAGGTACGTTATTTTCAACTTAATATTATTACTGCTATACATGATTTATGTTGTAAAATATAGGTTATAGATACAACCGGTGGCATTTGACAGTGATTACTGATTAGCATCAGAGAGTATTGGTATCTTGGTGTCGGCTGTAAATTTATACTATTGTATCTTTCACCCGGAGGAGGAGGGGATTAGCTAATAATATGATTTGAATTTATCTCGTCACTCCTTTAAATGGGATTTCTAGAAATTCGAGCATCAGGATCGTAGGATTATCTGCGATTGTGGTTTTATTATTTTCCTTTACATTACCTACAATACTTCATTCCTCAGTTCAGGGGCTATATTTTACGAGTCATGAAGTTACCCTACAGCTGTCGACCCAAACCATTCGAAATGCTGTTTCTTTGGACACTTTGTGCAAAATATATCAGTTAGGACGTCAATAAAATTTTAGGTACCAAGCGGTATTATCAGCTTCAAATACAGCAGGTAATAAAACTGTGACCAGTCGTTTCGTTAGCGTCACTGTTTGCTTGGTTTCTTAGACTTTCCAACGAGTAGTTGAAGAATAAATTTTTAGTTGTTCAATTGATTTATATATCCTTAAAGTTCAACCATTGTAAGGTTAATTTATACTTTTTAATACTATAATAAAAGTAATAAGCCATATACTACTGATGTACCTCACGATAAATCAATTAGGGAATTGAAAAACTGACGATCTAGTCCTTTCTAGATTACTTAAATTATATAACTGATTTTTGCAGTCCCGAGACCATGTACTTCTCTTGACCCGACGTAACTGCGATTATACTTATCTGTACAACATGTTAGGGAAATGGTTGCTAATTACCTTTTATGAATGGTATCAGTAACAATATTTATGTATTAAATTATATTAATAAATAAATAAAACAGAAAGCGACGATGATAGACAAGAGCGTGGGCCGCATAAACTTATGCACTAATCGGTGCGTCGTGAAATAATTTAACCGGTGATCGGATCGAAGACGTGCCTTTAATATTATGCTATACTGTCGTCGCAGTAGATATCGTGCGTGGACACCGCTTCTGTTGTCGAAGAACAGAAAACACTAGCTGACACTTACGTTGGCTTCGTCGTTTATATCTAAAAACGGTCGTTTTTATTTTTTTCTCCGATATCAGCTATACATACACACACACATCAATAGGTATATATATATATACGTTCGATGATTAACTTAAACGTTCTAAGTATATTTTATATGTATAGAAATCTTGTCAAAAACCGACATTTTAACGGTGACGGGGAGCTTTAGGAGTTGGAAGTGGGGTTGCTTCGATGAAGCGCGGGCGACCTTTCGAAAACAGACATGCACGCATTCCTAGGGCGGTATTTATCGGATTTATTTGTATACCGTGCGAATACGCGTGCAGCAACAAAACACACAAAAAGGAATACTGCAGCGCCGTTCAAACGGCACGAAGTTTCTATTTTCCAATACGACTAGTTACATTTTAAATACAAGTAAATGTGTGCATGTGTGTGTGTGTACGTGTGTGTAATATACGCATTCCTGTGCGATACAATTTCCGGAATTCCTACCGAAAAGTGGTCTATATAAAATATATATAATGGTCTCATTTCTGTATCCGTACGTAAAATACTATAGATATTTTATGCTGTATAATACGATATAGGGTATAAGCACCACAATACCGATATTATATTAATTTTCTCTCAGTTGGGGAATCATAATTTGTAATTAAAAGATGATTTTAGACTATTTTTTTTCTTTCTCCCACACATGATACGCATTATAGAAAATTTACGTTTAACAAAATCAACCGCATGTTGTCTGATTTAGTATTAGAATGAATTAACCCATCGGCCATCATAATACATTAAATTAAGAACATTTTATGTGTTCTTTTATGATATTTAAATTTTTATCGGAATTATGTGTATGTAAAAAGTTTCGATTTAATAATACCAAAAAAAAAAAAAAAAAAAAATGAATAATGTTATAAATAAGTAAATGTAAGAACACAGTTAAAAATTCTTAAATATAAATTATATATTGAGTAATTTTACACTAATACCAAAAATAACAATACCAGGTTAGTTCTACTAACTGCAAATTTATTATATTGACGACGTCAGAGAAAGAAAAAAATATTATGCTGACATAATTTTAATAAAACACGTAATGCTATTAATATTGCACTTAATGATTATATGATTACATACTTTGTTTTTATATTACCTATATAATTATCGAATGTTGAGTGGTATACCTATTACAGTATTCGTTATATTTTTATTTTTGTTATCAGTAAATTCTAAATGAATATTCAGAAACCAAAAGATCCTAAAGATGAATATTTCTCCGAATACAAAATAGCTACTACGAAATGTGCACATATATACCTTACTTATTAAAACGTGTAAGAAATCGAATACATGTGAATAGTTTTTTAAAACTTAGTGTATATACGATGGGTGTTTAGACAACGTTTTAAATTTATTTCATACTACTGCTCGTATAACAACACATTTACGTAGGATGATATTTTAAAACTTTCTACAAGTTTCCTATATTTTATATGTAGCATGTGATTGCCAAGTTAACTGTTTACTACACTATGTACTATTTTATTAATACAGTGCCTCATTTAATCAAATTTATCCAAAGAACATATTTTTATACAAAGTAGGAAACAAGTTTAATCCTTAAACAAATAAAAAGTTCTATAAATACTGTGTTAAGGTTTATATATTTTATTATATGCAAACGGTGCTTTTGGTTTGGTAGCCAAATAGAATTGACCTCTAATCCTAAAAACGAAAAATATTATTAGAATTTCGAAATATTTTTATTTCATATAATGTATGTATATATATATATATATAGTAGTAACATACTGTTTGTTGACTGCTAATCCCATGTATTGGACTTTTTGTTCTTTGGAGTATGCGAAGTCTCTGAAACACGAGCCATTAGTAAATGATTCGTAGTTTAAACATCGCAAAGAAGGAAATCCAGTGGGATTGATGACAGATTCAGCGAAATACTCCCACGCTCTGTCATGACTGCAAGCCACTAAAAAAATTGCATTTTATATTTAAAAAAGTTATACAGTAATAAACACGGTTTTTGGGTAAATTTTTTCATGATAAAATAATATTATTTTGTTGTATATAGTCTTACAAAAAAAAAAAAAAACAATTATTCACAAAAATGTCTATAGAATCTGTATTAATATACCTCCAAATAAATAATGTAAATAATCTCATTGTTAAAATACTTTATGTATTATATATTAATGTATTTTACATTTTTTTTTTTTTTTTTTTTTTTTTTATTATTTAGAAGTTTAGAAAGTTTCAATAACAATAGTTTTTAACGTTATAAATTTATTATTATTATTTAGACGGTTTTTCCACACAAATTTTTGTAATTTTACATTTTTATTTAAATATAGTTATTTGTTTTGGGTTCACCATTATTTTTAATCAATTTTTAAATGTATACGATTTGCAACTATCTCATTTTTGATTAGTTATATAAGTTTCCTACTGAAATTTGTGTTTGACCAACTTGATTTAAAAACTTATTATTCCACCCTCTAACAATATTATCAGTTTGCTAGTAGTCATTGAGAGTAGTTTTAATTAAACATTTAACGTTACTGAAAAGCAATGAGTAAAACTATTTTCAAAATATCAGCATAAACAATTAAGTTATAATTATTGCATTTAATTTTAATTTAAATCGTATATAAATATTATTATTATTAAATTATAACTTAACAACATTTATCAAGAATTTTCATTATTAATGTACTTTTAATTGAATTATTTGTGATGATAATATTATAATGTAAGATATTAGATTTAATTTAATTTATTACCATTTAAATATAAATAAAATATAGATAATTTATATCATAGTACATTACTCGTAAATTAACGAGCATGTATTTAGGGGGTTCTTATTTCCCAACAAGTAAGGTTTTTTTTTATTGTTATGAAATAATTCCTATGTTATACTGCAAGAGTATAATGCAGACAGAAAATAATTATATCTTATGTTCATTTCTTGTTAACAAAAACATTTATAGTTAAAATTGATTTTATTGAGGTGTCGATGTTTGAATAAACGTATTAAATAACAATGCGTAATATTCTTTGAATATTTATAACTCACTGAAGTTCCTTTAGTTATAAATCTTAATGTTCTCACACTCTTTACATAATGGAGTCGAGATAAGTAATGTCTACGTTTTCTATTGTCAAATTCAACAAACTACAGGTGTCCATAGCAACAAAACCCTATTATTTCTTCTGGCGTTCACTTATAAAACCTAGTGTTTGAAAACTTTTGCAATTTTTTTAAGTTTCCTACAACAAACTTTACATACTTAAAATTTTACTTTAGTCCTAACTTATAACTTATTTAAGTTCTTTACGTTTTAGCTTAAAAATAATTCTATTTTATAATATTACACTATTATACATGTTTTTGATGTAGCTATAAATGTAAATAATGTAAAAATATCACATATTATTAAAAACATATTCTTAAAAAATTATTCATTAAAAGAAAAAATATATGACATAGATTACAATTTTATTTGTCTGCTGCAGTATTTTAATAGAGTTTTCTCTCACACCATAAGTACTAAAAGAAAAGAGATACCTACTCTCTAGTTTTGTCAACTGCACTGTTGTGTTTTTAGACACGGCCCTTGGGTTTTTTTCTCATTATACGAATTAATTTAAATTTTTCTCCTCTGTCCATTAAAATACATAAATTGAGCATTAATAGTGAATCTTAGTAATTTAATTACGTAAAACAATGATCACAAAAATTGACTCTCAAAGCTTGAGAACCAAACAGTGTGAGTACTATTATTGATACTCAAAGCATGCAGAACAAACAAATATGAATAAAATATTGAAGCCTGAAGTAAAAATTATGTGAGTACTTACTGTGGTACTTATGGCAGCCAATTTGTAAAGCATATTCATTATAAGTTATAACTGATTATACATGACAATATTATAACTTAATTTAATTTAAAGTAAAAATTATAAATTGTTTATCTTTCTTATCATAAAAAAAATATTTTATAAATTTGTTATTTAAATAAAATTTCATTGATATATTTTATTAACTATGAAAGAATATTGTAAGCTCATAATAGTCATAACACTCATAACACATAATAATTTAATATCATTGAGAACAAAATATATACCTATTAAATGTATTTTAAAATTTGATTATATAATACGCCTAATATATTAAATAGTATTTACTTAATAATATGACTAGAAAAATTTCTTTTCGTTAAATTATTTTTATAATTTTTAATAATAATTTGTAAGTATTATAATATTAAGTATAAAGCTTATTTTTAAATTTCTCAATTACTTTATTTTTATAGAATTGGAGAGCCCATATATAATACACTAAATATAATTCAAATAATGAAATAAGGAGAATATTAAAAAATCCGTATATTTTTATGTCTAAATCAAATATTTAAAGAATGAAAATCAAATATATTTATTAGTTTTGAATAATTTGACATTAAAAATATATTATACTTATTGACTTTTGTACAAATTTATTTTATTCTTAGAATATTTTATTTTATATTATACAACGATTTTAAATTAATATTTTATATATACATATATATAGTTTTTTTTTAATAATTATTACTTATAAGTGAAAGATTTAAATACTAAATATTTAGCCCTTTATTATTAAGTAAAAATATTACTACTCATATTTTTTTTTTATAATAATACAACAAATATAACTTAATCTCAAAGATATTTTGTTTTTAATAGTTTTGTATAATATTATTTGTAGAATAATATTATTATCCAGTTTTTAACCGATTATTTTCGTATATTGCCTCAATTGTTTTAACATTTTTCGTTAATTTATTTTAGGTCAGACTTTTAATTTATTAAATTCAGATTCTGACTAAGTTTGCTTTTATTTCACTATTTTACTTTAAAAAAATGTTGACTTTATAAAATCTAACAAACAATGTAATAAATATTTAAAAACAAAATACCACGAATAAATGAATACATTACTGTTGTGATTTATACAAAATCTTAAACAAATGGAAAACCGTTTCAAAATTAATTGCGTTCTGTGAGAATAAATTTGCATACGAATAATTTTTATATAAGCGCGTGTTAAGATACGTTTTAAAAATTAAAATGGTTCAGAAAATATTTTCAATAAATTGTTGATAAACACGTATATTAAATAATAATCCCATTGTTTAAGAATTGGACTCGATCACATTCGTTGGAAACGAGATACTTCAATGTCTTATGTCACTATAAGTTAACTGCGAGTATTATACAATAATATCTGTGTATGTAATTTTTGAAGATATTATAAACAATATTATTCTTGTATTGTGTTTTCCTGAGTTTGTGAGATGACGCGGTGGCCATACGTTAGTCATGATATTGACACGGAGTGGTGTGGCAATGGAACGAGTATATAGTAGTATAAAATTGTATTTTTAACAAGCCCCGATCGAATTTCGATGGAACAACATACCATTACCGTGTACTCGTATAAGTAATAACGACAAATGTAACAACCGTATTGGCGAACTATCGGCGTCAGTTATAAGTTATAATACAGTATACCGTAGACAATCACCTACGCGTATATAGGCATTATTATTACTTATTATTATATGATAATGATTGCATGATATTGTTGTGGAAAGAACACGAACAATTTTAAAACTTGTGCAAAGTCATGATCACGCGTTGTTCGTTATCTCATGTTACATATAATCATACAATTGGTAACCTAAAGTATATTACAAGATACTGCAATAGTACTGTACGGGAATGATTAGAACTATTAAATATATAAAGAAACTCCAAAAGGTTGACGAAGTTCTAAAGATTACTTTAGATTTTTTCTTGAAAAAAATAAATAATATAAATGAGTTTCCACCTCCGAGTGCAATATTTACATAATAATTACGATTTCCTTTATGCAAGAATCAATAACTTATATATTTTTAGAGTGTACTTTGTACATATTGTTTTTGAATTTAAGAGTTTATTTTTTTATCATATTTTCCGAAAATATAATTTAAATTATTTTGATTTTTTGAAAAATACTCAACAATAATTTAATTTAATTTTAATAAAAGTATTAATTACTAAGTATACATTTGACCTCCAATTAAAATAGGTCAATTATGAAAATTGAATTTTTCGTATACATTATTATCTTTACGTAGTCTACAGTCTTTTTTTCAATCATCCACCCATCCGCAGAACCACCACTCGTTGTATACCTATGCGTAGCTATAGTTGCAAACCACACTAACTATCGTTTAATTAAATATGTAAACTATTTTACAGGTATCTAAATTTTTTCAGCATATTTTAGTACATTTTAGGGTATATTGTAAACGCACACTGAATACACTAAACACATTTTAGCATTTTTTATTGAACTAATGTATGCTTATTACATTGGCTTTTAGGGCGTTGACATATGATATATTATTAATATACAAGCCCCAAATGTATCTTATTATTATGGGTTTCAACTGTAAAATATTAGAGTAAGTATTTATATATTTCACAGTTTATTCCACAGAGGTTTCTATAAATCTAATGAATTATATACATGTGCTGATGCTATCTAAATGACATACGAGTGTTAGGAATTATTTGGATATTCAAATTTGAGATTGAAGAATATATTTTATAGATTCATCGTATACCTGAAGTTAATTGATCGAATAAATTATTATTATTTATTTTTTTTTTTACAATATTCATATTTTAACGATTTTTAAATATTTCCAAATTTTGTAAAGTAAACGAGTTTTATAGTATTTTTGATTTTATCTTTTAAGCTAGGTTAATAAAAAAATATTAATTTGTAGATGATTATATTATATGGTTATTCAGACATCTAAATATTTTTCCCAGTATTATACAAATTTAAGATGTATACTCACTTATTCTGGTTATAAGGTTAGCTTGCGCCAGTTCCCGAAGGCTGCACCCGGGCTGCAATGGGAAACCTCCGTTCGGGAAAAAGTCAGCGTGACCTAATGCCACTGGAAATCCGAACACACCGCCATCAGTGTGTATCACATCCACGAACTCAGCGTCCGAAGGCGTCAGATGTCCCATATTTCCCGTCCACATGTATAGTGGAAAAGCCGGGTCGAGTCCTGAAAAAACAGAATAAAAATCCCACGCATTATATTATTAAAATATGGACTGTTTTACCTTTAACTCAGAACAGTATAAATAGTATCAAATACCGAAATTAAGATTTTTATTTTTGGTATCTATAGATATTCATGTCAATATACAAATACAAATACATAAATATATCTATATTTATTATTTACAATTTTTTCCTCTTTTTAAATTATTGTTATTTATTTTAATATTTTAAATATATTGTTATTTATTTATAGGTAGTGAACTGGTATTTTCATATTTTTCATTAAGATCAATAGTAACGAAATACAATATTTGTGGAAATTAGAATTTTATAAATCAATGTTTAAATTAAATTAATTTTGAAACCAGTACCCTCCGATCCATCATTACTGGACTTCACGCCTCATAATAAAATATATTATTTTGATACACATATTAAAGAAATTTTTCGAGGATTTGATGTTCATCACATGATATAATATATTATATTAATATAAATTAATATAATTTCAATTAACGTATTAAAATTCAAAATGTCGTTTACATATTATATGAACAACAATATTACAGTAAGCATAAATTAATCAAATCAAAATAAATTTCGAATTATGTATAATAAAGTATATTATGGCCGTTGATATTAAAAACCTCACGAAATATTTTTTACATCATAATATATTTTGTACATTTATTGCATCCTATACATATCAGTGTGCTGCTGTCATATATAATTATCGTAATGAAGCACCACAAACGTACTCATAATATAATATCTTTGCTACACATAATAATAATGTACGTAATACATACCGTAGTATTCAACCTTTTTTTAGTCTCAATTTATCTCGGAATTAACGAAAAAAAAAACAATTGGAAGCTTATAAATCCTACTAGCTTTGACTATTTTATTAATAGTCAGTAGGTATATTGAATTTTATAATATATACTTATGCATTATATTATGAATATTGTATATACAGTGCCATTCCCAAGTGAGTATGTTTTAGTCATTTTAGGCGTTTTAACACACTCCATTTTTATGCGAAAAATGTATAAAATATACATACTTATAATATCTAAAAAATATTTTTTACTTAATATTATTACTATTATTAAAACGGTAAACCCACAAATAGTAAAATATATAAAATTAAAACCCCTTCAATAAGAGATTTTTACGCATCATTTTATACAAATTATGTAAATGTCTAGTAAAATGAATCGTCAATTATTCGAATTACAAAATTTTGAAGAAAAAAAATATGTTGTTTAATAATACGTACCATTTCGCCTATTATAGTTAAATATAGAAACAATATTCAATATTTTATATAACATATGTTATACTATTATCATATACGCACAGGTGTTAGCTTAACCCTGCAACAAAGACGATTTTGTTTCCATAGTCCGTTCTATAATATTATACAAGATGTAAGTATAAACATGCAGGTATAAAATCTTGTAGGGTAAGACGATTATATGCGTTATATAATCCCCGGTCCTATATATATATATATAGGTACGCGAATATTATCCCTCACGTGTAGCTCACATAAAACCGTTTGCCGTTTACGTAAATCATTATGATATGTAATTATTATCATCACGCGTTCTATCTGTTTTAGCGGGGTTGCACAAAATTTTCTAACCACCGAAAACCATAACCCGTTTACTTACACCAAGTGTGCGCTTTTCAATCATCCACCTTCAAAACATTTCGCATCTTCATTGTCTAGCGAATTTTCACAACATGTTAAAGAATTGCACGCACTATTAGTGTCGATTTTTTCGATACACGAATAACAACAATTAAAATTATTTTATTTCTGTATGACTAAAGATTATCTATTTTTATCTATGTAATATTAAGATATTATTTGGCAGTTGTAGACGCAATCGAAAAAATATCATTGAATCAAATTCTATATTATTCTATAATAATATTATTATTACTGGATTACACGTGTAAAGTCGTGTTTGTAAGTACGTTACGGAAACACTTTTCTCATCGAAACTTTATTAATTTACATTTTATAACAATATTGAAATTTCAAAAGTTTATATGCTATGACGTATATTTTATATATATAGTTAATTAATCATAATAATTTTAAATAGGTTTCTAGATGCACTGGTAATCAACGTTATTGATTGATTAATGATTATTAATATTCCAATTTTTTTTTTCGTGTTTACTATTAAGCTTAAAATTTAAAAATATTAATTTTGTATTGACTTAATACTTTTCAAATGTGTTTTTAATAATTATAAATTATTTTATTTATTTGAAATTAAACTTAATATACCTATCGTAATATTGTAATAATATTATGATACTTTTATTTCGTTAGCTATAAATATATATTGAATAATGAATTGATGTACAAATTATTATTATTATTATTACATAATTATGTTCTGAAATATTGACGTTTGACGTCGATAATAAAATATAATACAGTTTTATAGTATTTTTATTATTATTTATTATCTGTTATACCATAAAATATGTCATTTTCAAACAAAAATAATTTAATCTATAAAATATGTCATAAAATTTGACATTTGATATTTGAACATACTTAATATTTATTATTAAAAAAAAAAAAAATAAAAAAAAAATAAAATCATAAAATCTAAATTAACATACTAAACGTATTTAGGTATCTAATTATTTTATTTTTCATATTATTTTAATATAAAAATGTATATGTGTACTATTCGGTAGCAATTTTATGCTTGAAATTGAAGTTATAAATATTAGCGGTATTTTAAATGACTTATGATTGACTACCGAAAACATTAGATTATGTTTAAATATTGAAATTAAATTGAGAAAATACCTATGTAAAATATATGATAACTTCAAATGGCGTAATCGTGATAAAATATATGTCAAAATATAAAATATGTAACTATATTGGTCATAATTAGAGTTCGGATTTGAAGGCAAAAGCCTTTTTTAAATAATTTTTATATAAAAATAAGTTTCATTTGATATTTGAGACGGTGGATGTATTTTTTGTTGTCTTTTTTACTTATAAATGCATTTTTGCTTTTTTTTGACTATGATACAAATCGATGAGCTGTAAAGACAGTGCATTGTTGATGTTATGTTTAAAATGATTTAGAATGTGTTAACAATAAGAATGGAGAAACAACACATGATGACGATTTAGTAAGTAGTTATCTTAGTTTAGATAATTATTTATGTATAAAAAACGCCCTAATAACTTCGGTGGGCGAAAAAATATTATTTTCTATGTATACAAATATAACCGTCAACGTTTTACCAAAGATCGCTTATCTAAGTACATGGTAATGATTTTTTTTTATATACCAACTAGGTAGTTAGTATATTTTTGAATTGCTTTTTATATGCATGAAATGCTATTTTTTTGCCTTTTTCAAATTTTAAATGCTTTTTTATTAATTATATTACTTTCAAATCCGAACTCCGGTCATAATTATACGTAATTTAGTATTACTACATAGTATATAAAAAATAATAAACTTTAATTTAAATAAACATTATGAAGATATGTAGTAGTTATCTAATTATTAATTTATTTACATTTTATAATTATTTAATTTTTTTTTAAAAATACGGAAAATATTTTAAGAGCGTTAGTAATTTAATTTTGAATTTGGTTTTGAATAAATTTAAATATATTTTTTGAAAACCTTGTTAGGCCATTCAAATTGTTTATTTTATGTAACATAATTAATTCTAATTTTATTTTAAATTAAAGTGCATTTTAACAATCATATATACTACTGATTTTAATCAAATAGCATATATTTGATAAAAAAAACAATACTATTATTTAATAAAGATTTTAAGAGATAATATTTTTCTAGAACTTATAAGCTAAGTATCTAATTAAATATTATACATTCCTATTATATGTCATAGATAAATTAAGCACAGTATGTATTGACTTTATAAAATATTAAGACAATTATTTTTTTAATAATTATTTAAGAATAACAGTTCTACAAATTAGTTAGTACCTAACTAATAATTTAATACTGTAAGGTAATAGGTGATTATGTTTTTTATTTTTTTTTTTTTTTAATTAAAAAATATGTTGTGAAAAGAAAATTATCAAACACTATGTAATTATTATTTACATTCATTTCGTACTTATGTTTCATGCTTGTGTTCACGTAAAAAAAAGTTAATACCCAATAATATTTAATTAAGGCCGGTAGGTACTTTATGTACTAACCTGTGATTCTTGGAAGTTTTCCGATTTTAAGATTTTTGCCAGTAAACCCAGCTATTTCAGCACCTAGACTAAATCCAATTAAATGTATTTTGGATAGATAGAATCTTCTTGACACTAAATATTCTATGAACTTAGCCAAATATTTAGCGGCTATACGCGTATTAAGTACTGCGTGACTATACCACGGAAATGCGCACATAGGACTCCAATCCACTATTATAATATTCACATTTCCTCGATGTAAATATGCTGCAAAAATTTACCGATTAAAATCACTAATAAAATGGAAACTCATTCAGCATTCCTCTCCGATTTAACCGTCTTAATAATTTATATTTTTAAATAATACCTTTTTTTATGGTCTCCGCACCCTTAGAATTTCCTTGCTCTGTAAACCCGTGAACATAGATCACAGTTGTCAAATTTTGTATCATATTGGCTCTGCGTAGGGAAACATCGTCACCAATATATATGCGTTTCGGATGAAAAGGGTTGTTCCTGGACAACATTATTTTTGTTTCTGATTATTATTGTATTTTATATTGACACATGTTATACTAAGGATAATAATAACATAACAATAATAAAACGAATATACACATACACTCACTCAAACATACACACACACAAACACACACACACACACACACACACACCTCGAATATGAAAAAAATGCGATGTCCTCTTTTTCGTTTATTGGACAACAACCTTCACATCGACCTCTGGGCGTCATTGTAGCGGAAAATGGATTTTTACCTGAACGATAAAATTGTGGTTTCACAGTTTGCTCTACATCATTTAAAAGTCAAACTCACCCCAAAATAACGTGAAGGTCATGCATGCCATCATGCCTAGAGCCACCATGATTAATTGGCATCACAGTACATCGATATCACAAATTGGTTTGTGATGGTAAAAGTGAAAAAAATATATATTTATACATAATATATAATATCATGAACTATTTGTTATAAGTGTGTTTAACGTAAAAAAAAAAAATTAATAATATCTACCACCGAATACGCGTTAGCTGAATGGGAAACATTACTAAACGTTTCGTTGCTTGCAGGGCTTCGTTTATGTATTTTTTATCTCCCCGCCAGCTCTTCTACGTTCAAGGTTAAAGCTAATGGAAATTCACAAATAACAACAATGGCAAATTCTTCTGAAACTTAAATGCATTTTGTTTATTCGATGTTAGTTTTACAGTACAGTAGGTATACCTATTTATTTATGCCACGTTTAGCCGAAAATTAATTGTAAATAATTGATACATAATTGTATCATTATAATTATATAATTGTTATCAATTAAGATAAAAGTAAAAATCTAAAGATATAATTCTTACCATTAAAACGTTTAAATTGAGTTTTATACTGTTACTCATACGATAAGTTATACAATATAATATTTATATTGTTTATCATATGGACATGAATTCATATTGTGATTGCATTTTTTAATTGTTATATTGTCATGATCCTACCTATTTATACTTGTTACGTTTGCGTAGAGCGAACGATTATGGGTAATATAATAATATATTATCGTCCTTGGCACAGCGCGAAAATATTATTTACCGATACGAAAACCATGACCACAAAATTTAATGTCGAGTTCCAGTCACCCAAATACGAAAGAAAACAATTTTGTCGATATCTTATAGTATTTTTGATACGAGAAACGCAGTCAAACGCATCGCACGAGACAAGTGAACTCTTTCCAGGAAAATAAATATCCGATGGAATGAAAAACAAAACGAAACAAAACAGATATTACGTGAACGCGACATGTTTTCGATAAGTTTCAACAAACAAATGCTCACACATGGACGAACGATGATGACAATGATAATTTATTATAATAATAAAATTATATCATACAAAAGAGTATCGCAGCGGCGATGTAACTCACATAGTACCTACGCGTATCACTGACGTACGGTAACACGAGTCGGTAAACTGTGTGTTTTTATCTACATATACTTATTTTATATAACATAATATTATATCGTTTATATTTCGTCGGTTTTGCTTTATAATTACGTAGATACACCTATTCGCATATTCGTATATTATGTCCACATATTATTATAATGTGGTCGTGTGATCACATAAACCATATGAAAAAATACGTTTTCGCGTTTCCCGCACGTCCTTGTGTAGAAAATGGGGCCAATTCTCTGGTGATGTAGAAGGGGGTAAAAAAAAAATAAATAAATAATAAAAATAAAAAAAAAACAATAACGTGTATTATAGACAACGCGTCGCCGCCGATTTACGACAGTTCATTATCGTTTAACACGGTAAAATATATAATTGTATTATAATAATTTCGCTTCCGATCGAATATAATGTATATTTATACATACATAATATAATATACGTGCTGCAGCAATTAATTTGATACGGCCGACGAGCTAGCTCGCGCGGTTTCGACACTCCGTGACAGTATATATGATAATATTTCCATGTCGACTGCTGCGATATTATCTATAATGTTTTATAGGCATAAGAGCAATTTTTGTTACTTGAATATCAATTATTTTTCTTATATACATTATTTTAGCTTCTGACCTAATCGATGTGTATTATAATAGAGGCAGATATTTTAGAAATGTACAATTTTAATCGGAAAGCGAAAACACGAATCTGATAAATTAATATTTATTTAGAACAGATGCGTATGGTTTAAAAATAATATGTTTAACAGATAATACAACGCGTTAGACACCGCTGTCCCTTGTATATTTTTGAATAATAATATAATTGGGATACATGGTTCTACAGTTTTTTTTTTTTTATCTAAATAATTGTATTTATATAATTTATACAGAATTTAAACGTAATCATTTACCTTTTTATCTTACATAGCTAAAAAACAATTAATATTTTTCTTGACGGGAAGTTATTTATTGTTCAAAGCTAAGCAACCTATATTTAAATTTATTTGATTTTATCTTTATATTACCCTATCCATATTTATTACGTGTGTTTTACTGAAGTTCTTTCATATTATATTATTTATTCACTGTAAACATTAACGGATACTCCTGCTTAAGACGACCGTATATGTAGAAGTTATTATAATTGTAAATATTTAAACCTAAATCATAATAATTTATCACATTTATAGCAAAAATGCTATTTCACAAATGCAAGTTTTAAATTATTTGTTTTTATCTAGATGATATAGTTTTATATCTATTACATAATCAGTTAGATAAAATTTCAATTAATTAAATTTTATCTTATCTAGAAAATGTTTTTGTTATCTTTATACGACACTGAGTCTGCCATCATACAGTAAGAAAATCGATTTGGTCAATAAATTCAATGTGATTTTTATTCATATGTTTCATGTACGAAAGTTCGTTGACGAAGGTTATAATATAATTGTCTTATCACCGCGCCTTGGCATGTAGATGGTCTTAAAGTTAATTTACTCAAATCAAAATAAACTAACCCCATAGGTCAAATAAATTACATTCGTATTAATAATATTTATATAACTACAATCAACAGATGGGATAACGAGATAAAATAACATAATATTGTTACTACGATATTGTTATTATTATAATCAAGACACGCGAATACCTGTATACGGAACCGCAACTACCACGGCAGCCACCGGCTGACAACAATAATACTTAATCGTATAATATGTATTATTACGTCGTTGTTCGTAAATCGATTTAAATAAATATTTTTGCAATAATTTTAATAATTCCGTTTCTCCGTCCCTTCGGACAGACGAGCGTGTTCGTATCGTCGTCGCGACCGTAATGGTACGACGGCAGCCTATTCGACGACAACAGTCGTCGTTAATAATATAATATACATACTACAGACAATTATTATATTGTTTTATTTGTTTCATATAGAGCCACTTGTTAGTTGGAGTGATTCGTTTACATTTTCATTTTACTTTTGTTTTTACAGGATAAACTGTTGAACAAACTGGACGAAAAAGAACAAGACGAAGCAAAAACGCCGGAAGAAGAGGTGGGTTTGAGACTTATTCGCTATAAAAATATTATGTACATTCAGATCCTATGACAATCATTATAAATTTATAATGTATATTCGTATACGCCACAAAAATCCATACAGAGAGAAAATTTCTAAGAGTGTACGTTTTGCAATAAACGTTGAGCGTTTGTGTAGCACGAAATGTTGTAGAACAAAAATATGGGCCACAGTGTACACATATATCTTTTATCGAAATAACAATAACGGCATACGATTTTTATTATTATTTGTACTTCAAATTATTCGTAGTTTTTTACTATATGTTTTCACGTGCACTCGAAAATCATCAATCCCTTGGTAAACTTTGTTTTCATACATCGCACATAAAGCATATTTTTTGACTTTTATTGTTATGTGCTCCAAAATTGAACGTTCATACAAATTGAATGTACTCATAATATATTTATTAAAACCAATAAAAAAAAAATAAAAAATATATTCCATCGTTTATTTTGTTTGCCTTTATTTGCTATACAAACGTCCAGTCATTAAATTGTATTAGCCGTTTAGTTAATTTTATATTATTTTTAGAAGTTTACTTTAATTACCTGATAAAACATATTTAATTTAAAACTTTTTGAACCCGTCACAATTAAACATGAATTTCGTTCACGGAAAAATAATATATACACATACCTACAAATGTTATACGAGTGTTATTGACAACTATATTTAATAACGCTTAAAAACTGTCTGTGTAATTATGCATTGCCTTGTTTAAACACACTAACGTGTTAAAAATTACAAATACTAATCTCAAATTTACAACAAACATGAATTGTTTGTCAACAAATAGTTTAAAAATATTATTAGTGTCTATTTTTATTTGTGCTTGGTTGTTGATCATTTTCTTTTTAAACTAACCTAAGCTAAAAGATCAAAAAAAAAAAAACAAATCAAAGAAAACGATTTGATAAGTCGATTTAAATATCAAGTATAATTTTCGTATAATATTACAAATTATAATTAGGTACACGCACACAAATTATTTAGTTTAAAAATAAAACTTAAACAAGTCGTTGTCACTAAGCAATGTTTATAAAAAATAAGAGCTTGGCAATTAAAATATTATGCAATAAATGTATGACACTATAATTTATTAAAAAAAATCAAATCAAATAATAAATTCAAATTCAATAAAACAAAAATACCTTATTCGAGAACATGAAAAAAAAAAATTTACTTAAATTAATGTAGTATACATTTTTACAATTTTATTTCTAGAAACTCATAGAGATCACTAAACTTATATTTTTTCTAATAGTAAAATATTTATAAGAACTTTTGAATCATATGGACTGTGGATGATTTCTTGAAAATGAATTCCAATTATAAATTTATTATAACTAAATGGATATTAATAATAGTAAAAAATATTTCTTCATGCCATTTTTTTTCTGATTCTCCTATGCTGCAAATACACATGTTTTCGTTCTTGTCTTATACGTTTTAAGTAAAATCATGTTTACCTTATGATTATTAACAGTACAATATAATATGTTAAAATGTTATGCATAATTTCATTACAATTTAATAGGTCTTAGTGTAGTTATGAGTATTTTTTTTCATTTTTCTTGCATATTATCTAAAAAAAAATTATTCTGAGAACAGCATATAATGTCTAAATAATGATTTAAAATTAAATAAATTAGTTCTGTTTATAACACCAGAAAAATAATTATTGATTCTGATAATATAGATATTTTTAGTTAAATCACAAATATTAATAATATATTATCAATTAATGAATATAAAAATTATTTGAATATCATTATTTAAAATTAACAAACCGTGTACTACGGTGTACCATTTTATATTTTAAGGAAAAATATATAAATGCGTTGACTGAACACTATTTTAAAACTTGGATTTTGTTAGCGACAGATTGTAAATCTTTGCTTTGCCATTTAAAAGTCAACGATTTATTTATTATTATATTGCAGTTTTTTTTTCAAACTTCATTCCAATGTACTATTTTTTTAGTTGAAATTAATGAAGAAATCATTTTTACTCACGTGAGAAAAAGTAATTTCAGGTTGGAATCATATTTCTGATTATTTTTTTAAGCAAGTAAACAAATAACTCATCAAGATACTAGCTCGAGTACTCGACTTCGACATAATTTAGTCTGACAACTTCCAGCACGAGATAATATTGATTATTCCCCAAGGCATATTTATTAGTTTTGATACCACACAATTTTCAAATAAAGAAAATAACATTCATTAAATATATAATACATAACACAAGTCACAAAGAAAAATGTCTTTCACTAATAAAAATATATACAGAGTGGTTCTTTTTACAACAAATTCTAATCTCAAAAAGTAATAGTATGTTTGAAGTTTATTTCTTTTTACATAATCTGAAATTATTATATACGAGTACAAGACATGGTTGTTGACAAAATATTATATAATTTACTATTTTTTTTTTTTATGATTTATACTTTTTTGAATCTCAACATGTATTTTCATGTCATATCCCAAAGCAATAAATGTTTGCGTAGAATTTTGTATGTATAAAAATCATATTCTTAAGAATACCTAGTTAATAAGTATCTGGTAGGTAGTTATAACTTTAGAAATATCTACAATTTAGATGAATAGAATATATTGATACAATACTGGTACTTAGAGATTTCTAAATACTTGTTTGAAGTATGATTTTTAAATATAAAAGCTGTAAACAAAAAATGTAAATTTAGCTCTTAGATATGAATAAGATAAACAGTTTTTATTGTAATTGGACCTTGTGTCTGTATAAATTATATAAATAAATAAATAAATAAATAAAAAATTAATAAATATTTAATATATTTTTCAAAAATGTTGTTTTGTATAATGACTTTTAAGTTCAAATAATATATGTAAAAAAAAAAAACTATTTTCATAAATCTTAATAATTTTTGAGTGTTAATCGCTAAAAAGATCACCTAATCTACACATATAGACAAACATAATACTAATATATTTTTACTGAGTATTGAAAATCCCCGTGGAGGACATTTTAAAATTCAACACACGAATCCTATTACATGTAGTAGTTGTTTGGAATCTGGTATGAACTGTATGATATATTATATTATAACCACATATACTGTAGTACTTACATAATGTCTCTAATATATTGATATTTTTAAGAACATATATGTGTATAATACTTCTATATAATAGGTTTAGACTAATAGATTTAAACGATTTATATATTTATAAATATAAATCATTACATATGATTTTCTAAGTTTAAAACCTCTTATCGACAACTACATTATAGAACTGATTACGAACAAACAATTTAACATGTCGAATTACACCTATCTTTATTTATTTATTTATTTATTTATACACATAATATTTAGGTAGTTAAGTACCTACATTATTATTAAATAAACACAAGTATTATTGCGTTACATATATTTTTAAAATAATAGCTTATAACGTGGCTGCACTTGCTTAATATTCAGATCAATAGTGCCCATTTAACTGATACTTATCCAAATTACAAAGCATATTATTTTGTATTATTATTGCACATAAAATAAAATACGAATATTTATTACTAAGTCTTAAAGTATAAAATAAATACTGAAACTTTATGTTTTTTTTAGTTTGTATACAGATTCTGTAAAAGCTATCGTAATATTATAGGTTCGTAAAAATATAAGAAAAAAAAAACGTGTACTGAAATATTATCAACTAATGTTTCATTAAAAAAAATTACTGTTGATATAAATTAAATATAAGCTACTTTTCAAATATAATGTTAGCTTTTGCCTCAAAATGTATTAAATTTATAATTTATAATGTATTAAACAATTTGAATATCCAATTTGTATTTAGATATCTATAATAATGTAATACTACCTTTAATTATAAATGTAGGTTTTTGAAAATATTACGGCAAAATTCTTTCTTTGCATACATTTTGTGATTACAGTCATGCAGATAATGACAAACCATTTGTATATAATCAGTAGATTTCTTAAAAAGTTGATTAATACTATAAATAACATAATAAATTGTAGTTATATCAGTACGTTTTTATCTATTTAAATATTACGGAAATGTGTACGTATACATAGTAAGTTTAGATGTAAGCTTTTAGGTATTTTTACACACTATAAATAATAATATAGGTATTAGGTACCAACTAATTTTTTGGCTATAAATGAATATAAAATATAAGTGTAGCTGATAAATAGGATACAGAATGTATTTTATTTTTTACTCATAAACATTCATTCAGAATGACTTAGATATTTTGAAATAATTCCTGGAGATTATAATTTGATGTAAAATAATTTTTTTACAAAATTTGAAACTTTTACTACACGTTTGTAGAATAATTTAATACCTAAACACTTAGTATTTGCTTAGAGAGTACTTATAATTAAAACACAGGCATACTCGTATATGATAGAATGAATTTATCATTAATACAATTTTATAAAGGTATGAGTATTATTATAATATAATATGACAGGCATTTTATAACATGTTTACATAATAACAATCCAACCAAGCAATTTAAAAAATTATATTTGATGAATGTTATGACATAAACATAATAATATTATAGAAAAAATATGAACAAACTTATGAATTTGTGAATATATATTCATATACTATTTACAGAAGAATTTTTTTATAACTTTTTTGGGTTGTCAAACAATATAATATCTTTATTTTCTTAATATATATTTAGTTTAGGTGGTCTGGTTTGCGTGCAAATACCAAAAAAACAACTTGTTTGCGTAAAAAACTGCCACTCGTTTGAGTATAGTTGAGCCTTAAAACAGACAAATTATTTGTGCAGTTACTTTTTACAGCATCAATATATACAAATTATAATTTTAAAAGTACCAACACAGCACATTAAAAATGCATGTTAATACTTGTTTATTAATAATCGTTAATATTAATATTTAAATTATAAATTTATCGATTTTACTAATTTTCTTATTATTTTTC